CCACGCTTGGATGATTTATGCCGAAAGTAACACAAACCCGAAAACTTGCAGGCGAAATTCAACAAACCGACAGAGAAGACAGGATTCTAGGTGAAACTAGAAAAGACGGAGGTGATGAAGATAACCAACTAACAGCACCAGTCCCCATCCACGGGAGAGATTTGACCAAGGTCACTTCCTTTACTTATCCGGCTAGAAAGCGCGATTTCAATCACAGGTGGGCGGGACAGATGAAGGCAAAATACTCTTTCATCAACCCGAAACCAGTTTGGAAATCTTCTGCACTCAGCCAGCATGAAGTACAAGATTCGAATTCTATTCAAAACAAATGTGAAGTCAGTAGACTGGTTCTTCTATACAGGTTAGAAACTTGCACTGCACGTCACGAAAAGGATTTCCGACAGGTTAATGCAGACTCTTATCAACAGATGCTTTCACCAGCTCCATACTGAAGATCAAATAGCCAACCAGCTGGCCAGAAAGAATTAGCAACAAGAAACTCTGGCTGGCAACACACCAATCAAGAGCTGACTGCTAAACAAATATGTAGGGGAAAATGTAGATGGATGGATCAGGCATACGTTGAGGAGGCCGTCGAATGACATCGCCCTCAATGCAGGCGATCGCTCAAACGGAATCCCAACGGGAAGCGACGATTAGCTGTCAGTACGAGGGTAACATGGAGATCGTTTCGTCGTGAGGAGTAGATGAGAGATTATGGGCAATCGTGGGTCACTCCAAACGGGACCAGAGAAAATAGAAGAAGGTGGAGACGTATCTCTGAAGCCCTATGTTCCACTCGAAACTCAAGGAAATAATAAAGTAATAAATAAGTATCAAAATATATTTACAACCATTTCAAATAAAATAAAGCTGTGTATAACTCTATCGACCGATCCCCGGCCATTGGACGCACTCCTTTACCTCGCTAAGCCAGAAATAATGCTGGTAAAGAGTAAAGGTTGGGCATGGGACTAACAACCCCATCCTGTAAAAATAAACACTGCTAGAAGTAACTTCAAGCCACTAGCTTGAAGCCCTATATTCCACTGGGGAATGTGAAGGAAAAAAAATGAATTTGAACTTGAACAAATGTAGTCAGTAGTGTGAGAAAGACAACATGAACACTACGCGGAAGTAAACAAACAGGATAGGTTAAATATACGTTCAAGGACTAACAAATAACAAATAATAATGATATGGCGCCAACAAAAATGTAATATTAGTGAACCATTAACATATAATGAAAAGAGAGAGAAGACTTATGTGAAAACAGTAAAAAATATGAAAGTTATTCCGTTTCTAACCTCATTTCTGAAATTGATAATTGTAAAGAGTGAAGAATTTACTGGAAAAAAAAACCTGACCGCTCTAATTATTCTTGTTTGAAAATAAATTACGGCAGATACTCAAATTACTGGAATCTATGTTAATTGAAACACAGGCTATATGAATATAAACGTTTCAACACTTATTCCAGATAATGAGAAAATTTTGAATACAGAAATGTATCTTGAAAGCTGTTAGGTAGTCTTTGGTTAACTATAAACAATATTCAATAAATAATATTGTATAGCATAGCGCAAACCAAACGCTGACATTTAACCACTATCATTTTCAGCAGAGCTGATACCGTGTGATTCCATTATGAGTAAAATTTATTTAGATAAAGTTTCACAGTGTTATACAGTGATATTTACTGATGCGATCACGTTTCGAGCACAATTTATTACTGCAGCTCATAATCATATCAAGACACTACTCACACACAACTTTCTAACTTCGTTTATATACTTCCATTATTATTTTTCATCGCCTGACTTGATTGGTAGTAGTATTTTCCATGTTTCCGGTATGAGTGATGAGTCATTCCTATTGCATGTGTTGGGTGTAGACTCGATGAGCAAGGATTCAGTAATCAACCACCTCTCTCTCCACTTACCTACATTACTTCTTAGAATCTTGACTCTCTCCTAACCTATTGTATGGTTGTATGCTAATGCATGTAATACAATTGCTGAGCTTTTTCCTAAATTACTTATCTTCTCGGAGTCAATCATTCTTACCTTAGCAAAATTCTTATGTTCCGACAATCTGATTAGCCCCGATCTACTAGTTTGACCTATGTAGTTGACCCCGAGAAGATAAGTAATTTATGAAAAAGCTCAGTAGTTGCACTGTGTGCACTAACACACAACCACAAAATAGGTTGGAAGGGAGTTAAAATTCTAAAAATGAATAATAAGTAGGTGGACAGCGAGAGAGGTTGATTACTGAATCCTCCCTAGTTCAACGAGTCTACACCCAACACGTGCAATAGGAATAACTCACCAGTCATACCAGGAATATGGAAAATACTACTAACAATCAAATCAAGCGATGGAAAATAACGGAATTATTTAAACGGAGTTAGAAAGTTGTGTGAGTAGTGTCTTGATATGATTATGAGCAGCAATATATTACTGTATAACAACACTGTGAAATTTTATCAAAATAAATTTTACGCAGAATGAAATTATACTCTACCATAATGCACAAGTTCTCTGCTTATATCACTGATACCGTATGGTATATCTTGCAAAGATCAACAAGCATATATACGTGGAGTTATACCGATTGAGATGGTTAAGACATGTGTTACGCATGCTTAGAGACTGCCCTCCTCGACGGGTGATGTTAGCTAACGTAGGATGGACTGGTTGGAAAAGAGCTATTGGCGGTCAAACTAAAACATGGCTTCATCAGTCAGTCAACCACGTAGAGAGGTGGTTGGGGTCCCTAAGGCACTAAGAACCAGTAGCTGAAGACAATTGGTGATATGGCTCAAAATCGTTCTCAATGGCTGGCGCGGATGCATTTCCACTCTTTGTGATCTGTCTTATCTAATAAAACTCTATCGTTCTTCCGTATTACTATTCTTTTCGCCTCACAATTCTGTTTATCATTTCTCTTTACTCTATTCTTTTGCTTTGTGTGCTACATGGAGCGAGAGTGGCAACTTTTACTGCTGCATATCTGTGTAAAGTTCTACGTTGAAACATGTCAGTTTCTAAAACTAACTTCTTAGTTTGCATTATTTGGTCTGAGAACTATCTTTCTGAATATAGACAGAAAGTGCTACAGGAACTGGCTACTAGCCTAGTCAAATGTTTAGTAGACATGTAAAACTTGGGCACTGTAGCATTATGCAGTCCCATAATTATTTGCATATTGCATATATTACACAGTGAAGCAATATTATTTACTGACGGATTTTTCGAATACAATTTATTGTTCATAATCATCTCAAATTTTTATTTCAATCGCAAGCTTTGTCCACCACGCTACATCAGTCATTACACAGGTTGACAGCCCATATCTGAGAGAGTGACGTTTCAGCAATAGATTGAAAACAATAACCTGCACCTGAGTTGATGGTCAGTACTTTAATGGACTGGTTAGGCTGTTAGAACAGCTGCGTTTTATATAATACTACGGGACAGCTTTGCACAGGTAACTATTTTGAAATTATAAAAGGTTAGGATACTAAATAATTAGAAATATATGAGTGCACCATTATTTAGTATGAACTGTAAAACAATTCTCGAATACACTACACATGCTTAACTAGGAAGATTATTCCATAAACCTTTAGCCCGTACACCAATCCACAAGGTAAGACGCCAACGTCAACGGGTGCATAACCGGAGCAGGTAACAACTCAAACTCATTCCCATGCAGTTTGCAACGAGCCATACCTATTATGTGAGGGTCAGGGTTAGTATCTGGTTGTCTACACCTCAGAGTGCGAGGCAGGGTTTGAACCTGAAACCTAGTAGTTGCAAGTCAAGCACCTATATTGATAAGCCACAAAATCCCATAGAAGCAAGTACATACACTTGTCGTTTTCACCAGATATCTATGCGCACTATTGATTCAGAATCAAGGTTTTCCAAATCCTCGAAGATAAAGTCTTTTGTATTCAACATTCGCCTTTTCAATTTCGTGAGGGGAATGGACAGGACTTAACCAACACAGATTATGAATGAGCGAACAAACAACAGCACTCAGAAGATTTCATTCAACCTCCCTAATACTAATACTATGTTACTTAGGAGGCCTCTCTTAAGTGGACTAGCGATAAGAAAGTAAAAATTCAACTCAATCACTCCATATTCTTTTTCGATCAGTTACGATGCGTAAGAATGCTATTACGTAAATGTTTGAGTCGAGACCGGTAGAACAGTTTTAGTTCAAGAAACGCCACTTGAAATTCGAATCCGTTAGGAATAAATACATTTGAAGACAAACGTGTATTAATCGAAATCACTGGATGACAAACATAAGTTGCAATTGATGGTACACATACAATTGATTGATATGACGAGTTCGAAACTACTCAGACCAACTGGTATTACTTGCCAACTAGGTCGGAGCAGTGTGAATGCTCAAAAAGATCATGCTTCTTTGCATTTTCCCTTCATTATCATTTATGCTATCAAGACGGTTATATATTGTTACCCGAATACCTTGTGTTTACAAAGCAGACTTTCACTTCAGTGTGTAGTCTGCAAATAAGAGGCTTAACTGATTACTACTCTCCGTATTCACCACTTATCTTAGCCACTCAAAGGGTGTTAAGAGAAATATTTATTTGAAACAATTTTTTTTTACAACGCCATTCCCACCCCTTATGCGAAATAAATTCTCAACTGCATGCCCTAAAACAATTAGGCGCTTGCTAGATGCAAGCAGAAAACAAGAACTGAGATTAATGAGCCACACACCCATTGTGGTGAATATCAGTTACCTGGCAGATGTATTTATGTCTATTATAATAAGTTGTTGTATAGACTGACGTGGAGTGCAAGCGTCGCTTATGGAGATGAGGCACTAGTTCGCAATCAACCCTCACTTTAAGCAACAGCATAATATGAAAAACTAACATAAAACAAGGTCTCTAGTTTTGAAAAGTTTGTGGACCCAGCCAAATAATACTACAAGTAAAATTCCACAAATTTTCACTCATTGTTATATTCTTCCAGTAATTTATCACAAGATGAATCCGGAAGCACGGATTCAACATACTTTGAACACCATTGGTCATATGGACAATCAATAATCTGTTTATGATTACAAAGAGAACAATGTACATGAATACTTCTTCTTCGCATTCGTACTTTGCCTGACATATGAAGAGGAATCGAACATTTCGTGCATAATGACCGACGAATAGCCAACGATAAACGTGTCTGAGACTTTTGACTAAGTGTTATTAAATTTTTCGAAGTTAACAAACATAATTGTTTTGTAAATGAAGCATCCATTCTTGACTGACAATTCGCGTATAGAAACATTTGCTGACACAGTAAATTCATGTGATGATGAACAGGAGAAAATGTGGACGGTGAATGATTATTCAAAGGTTTTCGTTTTCCCATTGTTCAAAAGTGACAAATGTTGTGTATGAATATAATGATGACCTGACAAATTTATCGCTGAAATTTAGATTTACCAAGACATTAGGAATTAAAATCTGTTAAATTAGAAATATGTTACGCAAGCGATTCAGACAGTGATATAAACTCACAAGTTTAGCAAGGGGAAATAAAATCGTGCAAGCGAAGTCTTCCGATTTAAAACCAGACTAACCACTGTCATTTTAGTCAGCTTTCACACTGCCTCGGATAAAACCATTAACTGCTTTTTTCCTCAAGTGCATATATCAATTCGCATACCGGTAAATTAACCACTCAGAATTCTAATCTTGAATTAATTCACTCGATGGTTATTATTTTAACCGAAATAATATTATTAAGTGACCATAGGTCAGGTTCATGGAGCTAAGTATCAGGAGAGTTAGCTACCAACAATATTCGATGGTACATCTACATAAGTGGTGAGCAAAATCTGATCCATAGCTCATTCATGGTGTGAAGAGTGACCAAGAGCCAAAAATTTCACTAGTCTGTTCAAGTAAAATCCAAAAACAGGCGAGAAAGTTATTGATTTATGGGCAAAGTTAAACTATCATAGCCAAAGCTACAGTGACCTATAACAACCAATCAGAATTCAGATGCAAAAAAAAGTCGCAAAATCGTTGGAAAATGCACCAAAAAACTTTGCAAACATGATACTATACTGTGCTGGTTGCTTATGTGTTGTAAGAATGTCTTCCAGTCACTACATCGACGATCTCTAGAGAAATCATATCAAGCTCGATAGGTGCATTCTTCCGGTCGGGTGATTGCAGGTTATGGTACTTCGAGATCTATTGATATTTAGGACACTGTTCTTTCACTTACTTCTAACTCTAAACTCAATCGTAACTCTTAATCCTAAATTTAATCATAACTTTAACCCTAGATCCTAAACCTTAATATAAAAGCCATAAGCCCACATAACAGTATAGATTTACAGAAAAGGTACCTGGATAATAAGTGAGATGCTGTGTTTGCCTTCTTCAAGTCCAGAAAGGCAGACATGATTTTATTTGGAACTATCTTTCATAGCATTCCCTGAATCTGGCTGGTTGTCGAAGGTCAGTACTTGAATAACCTTGGCTTTGGATGTGTTACCTTAACTCAACCAATTTTGCTTATAATAAGCTGGCAACTCATAAATAATTTTATGACCTTAAATTCTGTATTATTTAATAACTAGTATTCGCTTACAGCCAAAATAACACTCACACCATAACAAGCGCGCGTGCACGTACAGTATCCAATATCTTTCTGAGTCTTGGGCGGATTGCTGTTCACTAACCGTTGGTTTACAAATTGTCTTTTATGTTTATCCTGCAGTTGTTCACAACTTAACTTGGTGCGTGCTGCTCATCAATGTTACAATACACATCATTTTTGTTCCCGTTGTTCAATATCCAATATCGTTTTTACGAGCTAGTATAAACCAATTTGATTTCTTTGTGCTCGCCTCTTGATTGTGAGGTATAGGTTCTTGATCTTCGGTAAACTTCTGCGTAGCTTGTCCCGCCACTCGACTGTCGTAGCTTTGGTTGACTCCAAAGGGAGTAGTGCTGGGATTAATTATATGTGGTTTGTAGTATGAGGTATGTTAAGACTGTTACTACTGTGATTGGAGTTGATCCTTTCGCCAGTTAGTCCTTCGGTATTGTCGACAAGAGAAAAGAGATAGTAATAATAATAATAATAGTAATAATAATAATAGATATAATAAGTGAAGCTATTCAGACTAAGAGACAGAAACGAAAATAGGAAACGTAACAACAGTCAGCTCATGAAGTTTGAAGAATAATATATATATCGGTAATAGTAATAATAATAATAGTAATTATAATATAATTAAGTTGTCAGGAGAGTAAGACGGGAGAGAATGTAAAGAAGTAAAATGACGAGTTTAATTATCTACCCTGATTGGTAAATGCGATTTTAAGGAGATAGGCCATTTGGATGCAGTCCTTGTATCGCTGCATGGTTGTCCAGCCTTCGCTTAAAGGCGTCCAAAGACGGTGCCATAGCTACATCTGCCGGTAAGGAATTCCAGGGACGACAAACCCGCAGTGAAAAGAAGTGGGAGCGCACCCGGGTCCTTGCCCTCTGGTGAGCTATCCTTCTGGGATTTCCACGTGGAAGCCTATACCTACTCAATGGCAGAACACCTTTGTTTGGGTGATTCTGGTCATTTGTTATTTTGTAGGCAGTAATCAAATCCCCCCTAAGCCGACGGTAACTAAGTGTGAACAGGCCTAATTTCTTCAGCCTTTCATCATATGGTTTGTTTCGGAGACCAACCACTCCTTTTGTTGCCCGTCGTTGGACTCTTTCCAAGAGGTTGGCATCTCTTCTCAGCATTGGGGGTGCAATAATATTATGCACCTCAAGGTGTGGCCTGACGTATGTTTTGTACAACATTAGAAAGAGCTCAGGAGTGAGTGCACCTAACTGTCTATGCGTAAAGTGTATGACCGCATATGCCCTCGCTACATCCCCTGTGTAATTTACGCTTGTGTCCATTTTTTCCGTTAGAACTAGACCTAAGTCGCGTTCCGACGTTGTGCAGGACAAGCTTTCATTGCACAGGGTGTAACTTGCATTCTGCAGTCTACAGGTGCGCAACTTCACTACTTTGCACTTTTTCAAGTTGAAAGTCATGCCACTGGCCACCGCCCAGTCTTCCAGAAGGTTTAGGTCTTCCTGTAGCCTATCTGAGTCCTCCGGACACTTTATCGCCCTCCATATTTTTACGTCGTCAGCGTACAGGAGAGTCGGGCAGCTCAGACGGCGTGGTAGATCATTGATGAAAATCAAAAACATCAGTGGTCCTAGGATAGAACCCTGCGACACTCCTGATGACGATCTGTGCCAAGATGATCGGACTCGGTTAACCTTAGTGCAAAATTGCCTGTCGGCTAGGTAGTCCTTCAACCATGACAGAAGTGGCTCACCTATGCCTGCCTGTCTTATTTTATGTAGGAGAAGGTCATGGTGAACAGTGTCAAATGCCTTCTCAAAGTCTAGGAAGACCACATGGACTGGTACGTTCAAGTCCCAGCATGATGTCCAGTCGTCCCAAGCTGACAGTAGGTTAGTGACGCAGGATCTGCCTTTTCTGAAACCATGTTGGGCTTCATGCAGTATATTAGTCCTATCGAAATATTCCCTGATGTGGTCGTCAATAATACTTTCCAGTACTTTTGATACCACTGGGAGTAGAGCTACTGGTCTATAGCTAGCAGCGTTTTGCCTGTCCCCACCCTTGAAGATCGGAGAAAGGATGGCTCTTTTCCACTCCCTTGGCAGGGTCCCCGAATCCATTGAGTGTTGGAACAAGTCGCACAGGGGTCTACAGAGAGCCTCGGCGCACTGTTTCAGAACAGATGGCCTGATGTCATCACAACCTGGGGACTTCCCAGGTATGAGTCTCTGTAGCTTCCTTAGTACTATTGCGGGGTTTATTTGGGGAGTAGTCGCTAGGTCTTCCTCCTCTGAAATAGTGGTGCCACCATTTTGGTCCGTAACTGTAATATCCACATTGCTGTTTAGCTGTTTAGCGAAGGCTGAACTGAATGTTTCAGCCATCTCCAGACTAGTGAGATATTGACCGTTTGGGCCTACTAAGGCGCATGCCCCTTGGTTTGTCGGTTTTCTTTCCGACATGAATCGGTACAAGTTTTTAGGGTTTGATAGGAGTTTTTTAGCAAGGTTAGCCTGGAATGACCTTCTGTCCCTCCTAACTCTTGCATTACACCGGTTCCTGAGTTCGAGGTATGCATCATGGTCGGTCTGACTCTTAGATACACGCCACGTAAACCAAGCCCTCCGCTTTGCTTGCAGAATACGTTGCGTGCCTCTCTTCAACCATGACGTCTTTCTCTTAGGCTGTGTTGTGACTAAAGGGACGGTATCCGAGATTGCTGCATGGATAATCTTTTTTACCACTTCCCAGTGTTCATCCACAGATAGGTCGTCCCATGCTAAGGGCCAGTCTGCGTCGGACAAGAGCCTCCGCATTTCAGCATAGTCAGCCTTGCTGTGGTCGCGTAACATCCCATTGCAAACGCTCACGGAGGACAAGATCGAAACCTATGACTGCATGGTCACTGCTTCCCAGAGGAGTCATGATCTGGACCTTTTCGACGAGTAGCTGGTCACTAGTTAGAATATAATCTAGTTTTGATGACTTTCCACTAGGGCCCCACCTAGTGTCGTCTCCAACATTCTCAGTCAGTCCCGTGTTTCGAATAGTTTGCAGTAGGTTTCGGCCAAATTTTCCCTTAGCACACCCGGAGCCAAGGTTCAGTGATGGAGCATTGAAATCTCCAGCTATGGTGATTTGGTCGTAGCCCAAATCTCGTATTCCTGTGATAGTGCTGAGCAGTAGCTGATTGTGCTCTGCCCCACAGGTGGGAGATCGGTAGATGCCACCCAGTAAGTGCTTGGTGTGGCCTACGGTGAAATGACACCATATGGAGTCTGGGAGTTCGATAAGTGGTGGGTCCGTTGCGCGCACACATTTAAGTTGCCTATCAAAGTATATAGCAACTCCCCCTCCTTCCTTATTATCCCTGTCTCTCCTGACCAGTACCATATCACCTATACTGATTTCATTGTCGGCGATAGTTGTTGTTAAAATTAACTATTTCTTTTGTTTCCAACATTTTTAACAACAGGTCATTTCATTGTAATTGTTTCATACCTGAAATTCATGCGTGGTTACAGTGATTTAGCAGTTTTTCAGCTGTTAATGAAATAGTATCGTGTAGAATTTCTGAAGATTATGCATATGGGCGTGTTTGGGTGGCAGAATCTGTTGTTTCCTATTCGTTGGTCATTTGGCGTTGTTGTTGCTGGCTAAATCGGTCAACTAGTATGTAGGAATATGGAAAAAACAGTGTTTTTCGCGTTTATGTTTACACCATACAACAATCTACCCGTCAATCTAGTGAAGAGAGTACGATCAG